TTTGGTTTTTTTTGAGTCCTCCGGCAGTGGCCTACGTAATTAGCTTGATGTGCTGTTGTCCGTACAATACGACGGGGAAATCAATTTGAATAAACTTCGTTACATAATCTATCGATAAAAATCGAAGATACAAAGCACGTTCGCTTCTCTATAATGAAAAAACAACGTTCCTGAAGTATTGCATTTTTCGTATGTGGTTTTGCCTGTCAGTAATTAAGGAATTTCATAGGCATGCTTACGTCAAATGTTCGAAAGTTTTCAAATATTTTCTATGTAATCGATAAATTTAATCAATGTGATCATTGTGAAAAAATGTGTTTAAAATAGAAAACTAGTAATTAATGTAGAAAATAGACGTATAAATGGAATGTAATTTCATCTTTGACTAGACTGGGTGTAGCAGAGATTTTTTGCAAGTTTGTATGTCGCAAGGCGACATATTTCATGGAGCACTTGACTCGGTGAATTCGATAATGCAAATGAAAAAATATCGATTTGAAAGTAATGTTTATTGTGCGATAGTCGTTTTGTGCTAGTACCTTGATAAAGGGGACTGGACTGCCTATTAACATTAATGACGCCTCCAGTCCTAGGTATATCCACGAGTTTTTATAAAACTATTTTGCAAAGGTACACTTGTTTCTTGATGAAAGAATTTGGGACGTGCAAGTGGGATTTAGAAGAGGAATGGGATGCATGGATCTGGATGGATGGTCTTTTTGCGAAACATAACCGAAAAGTTTTTGGCTAAAAGACAAAGTCTATTGCGCTTTTAAAGACTTGGAGAAGGCCTACGACAGGTGTCAAGGAAAGAATTGTGGTCGACATTGCCTATGTATGGGGTGGACGGCAGTCTAGTTCAGGTACTGAAATCTATGAGGATTCCAGTGCCTGTGTCAGAATAAATGGTGCTTACACTGATTGGTTAGATATCCGGAAAGGTTAACACCTTTCCGGACAGACAGGGATGTGTAGCGTCGCCATGGCTGTTTAACCTAATTATGGACAATTGTTTGAAAGAGAGTACGTGTGGGCTGAGAATGAATGGTTTACTTATTATGTGCCTCCTATACGCCGATGACCAGGTGGTATTAGCATCGTCAGTGGAGGAGTTGCAGGAGATGGTAAATATTATGCATGGTGCTCATAAAAGGAAAGGAATGAAAATTAATGTGGGAAAGAAAAAGGTAATGGTTTTTGAAAGAGAGGAATATATGACGAATCGCACGATATTGATTGAAGGAGAGAAAGTGGAACAAGTGAAAGAGTTTGTGTATTTGGGTTCTATGTTTATGTGTGATGGAAAATGTGAGAGACATTGAAAGAAGAGTGAACGCAGGGAATCAGGTGAATGGTGCCTTGCATACCTTCATGGGCAGCCAGAAAGTGTCTAAAAAGGCATGATTGGCTGTGCATGTGCTGGTTCCTACACTTATGTATGTTGGGTTTGGCAGAAGAAGCATGAAATTAATGCAGTAGAAATGAGAGCTTTTAGGAGTATGGCTGGAGTGACTCGGATGGATAAATTACGGAACAATGTGATAAGAGAGTATTGTGGAGTGAAAGAAGATATAGTGACAAAGATACAGAAAGGGATGCTTAGATGGTTCGGACATATAGAGTGAAAATGGCGTTTTTGTAGTCTATATAAATTAAATTTTTAATGTTAGGATATACCTTTTGATCACATAAATTAAAGTCGATAAAAAAGTAATAAAATTATTAACAGACTTAAAAAAAGGAGGTGCAGGAAAAAGGGTACCTCGGTATTGGTCTCATTTAAATTTGAAGAAAATATTCCACTTCTAAGGGTGAACTTTTTGGCAACCGATTTAAAAAAACTTGGCAAATGGATGTATTCCCTCTCCTCAAACATTTTTTTTTTATAAAAGTTATGTGGTGTAATGACGACATAAAACCAATTTAATTCATGTTACGCACTTCATTTAGGTACATAATATAACAGTAACAACTAAGAAACTACAAAATATAATTATATTGGTTAAGTCTAGCTTTCTGTGCTTTTTTCCTCAAGTACATTAGCTTTTATAGAGCTGTTTTTTTCTGATTGCTTATGTGACTCCTCGGCCTTTCCAATTTTGTTTGCCATTTCAGCATATTTTGCTTGTCTGTAGTCATATTTAGCAGCGTCAAGTAGAACATTTTGTATCAATAATCGATTGTGTGTCTGTTTGTTAACTAATGCGGGATAAGGATTTCCTTTGAGCTCTAGAATGGCCATCTCATAATTTCTGCTGTATTCTGGTCTTGGAGCCTTATACATACGTGTGAATGCTGTGTTGGAGTTTTCATATCTAGGAACTAGGACTTTAAAAAGTTTGTGTACCAATTCCTTTTCAAGTAACCAAAAATCTGCTATTTCCATAGTTGGTTTGTGGCAATCTCCATGCCGAATGGCCTCTGATATCAACTGTAAAAAAATATTTATAAAATAAAGTAAGTACCTATCGAGTAGAATTGAAAACTGAGAACTTCTGTTCAAGACAATAGTAGGGATAGCTTACTCTTACCCTTTCTGCGTACTGACGAGCCTCGTCGGCTCTATTGTGAGTCAACTCAATCCTTTCGTATTTAAATAATCCTGTTACAGTTTTACGCAATTTGTTTAATCTTCCTTCTGGGCCCTGGGCATTTCGGAGTCTTCGAGGTTCCGGGTTTACTTTTATACGGAGCTTAGATACTAATTTCGTAACTTCTGCTTGATTCATGTTAATGGAACACTACAATATATCTTATGTTTAATTTTATTTTCTCGAGCTCAACCTACATAAAATTTAGGTTATGGCGTTATGGCTTTGGATTTTTTTTTTAAATTTATTAAGGCTTTGGCAAAGCCATCAGCCTAAACATGAAGTTTAATTATGTTTCTGTAAATATGGCCGCCACAAAGAGGATAGGCAATTTGAGGCGGCGTGCTTGGATTGACTCGGGATTCCTTAAAACGGGCCGCTACGGGTATTCTAGTTCGAGATTCGTATAATTTCGCGTTTTAATCTGCGATTAAGGCACAATAGCACTATCCTATTCCACTTTAAACTAGATTTCACAAAATAATTGAAAGTCAAAATAAAAACGTAACTTTTCCCTCCAAAAGGTCCAGAGCGAATCTCTTTGGATTATGCACAAACTAATAAGATTTACTACGTAGGATTATGTATAGTATCCACAGAACACTATACTCACAAGGAGTATCTTCCACAAATTAGAAAGATGTAGTAGTCTTCTCGTTAGTCTGTGGCACAAACTAATAAGAGATCTGTGGGTTGTTTTACAATAGGCTTCGTGTAGGCTTCTTAAAAATGTCGATATTTTTTCATGACATAATCGAAATTTATAATAACCATATATCAACAATCGATATTTTTTCTCGACTACTAATTTAGATTTTTTTTATAGCAGCCAGCGCAAGACAGCAAGTGCTATATGAGTATTTGAAAATGATACCAACGTACAGACGGCAGCACATTAAGCTACACATTGATGGATCTTGTTCCATTGCACTGGAGGCGATAATCGAACAAAAGTGTATAGTTTGATGTCGTGTTGACGTACAGTCAAGAGCACATCAAGCTTGACACTTTGTACTTTGGACCCTTCTTATCGTAAGCGGCATAGAGTTGAATTTAAGTCTTAAGTGTCAAGCTTAGTTGCAGTAGAGCTCCTTGTGAAAGAGTTCATCCAAGGAAATACTGCCACTACCTTACTTATTTCTGCCGCCAAGCTGTAATGTTAGCATTACTTCGTTCCGGTTTTGAAGGTAAGGTTGGTGGTAAAATTACAGGCACATGGGACTTGTCAACTTATGTCTTAGGGTGACGGGCGCAGCGGTAGTGCCCCTCAGATCTTTACGATTTAACGCTGTGAGTGGCACTGCAACTGTTATGGACAGGTGTGTAGCGTACCATCAGGCGCACGACTTGTTCGTTCCATCACTTGTTATTATAAAAAAAGGCAGACGTGCTCTTGACCTTGTACGTAGAAATATAAATATCGCTTTGTGGAACAAAATAAATAAGTATACGAATAAAAAAAAATAACATACTTTTTGGTAACATTGAGTAGTTTGTCGGAGCTTTCTAGCCTATTAAACATGGAGATTTATTTCTTTTTCACCTGCAGATGACCACGACATTACTTTTTAACCAGAAATTTGTCAATAAAATTTGCTATAATTTCACCATGAATCTCTAATTTTCAGAATTTTATTTCATGCATGTACTTAATAAATTATTTTGAGAATATTTTATAATTTCTACTGGCTTCGGGAAAAATGCCGATATATCGAATTATCCAAATTTCTTTAAATATCGAAATGATATATATGTCGATATATTTTATTCATATGCCATCCCTATTGCAGAGTGGATTTTGTTTTAATTTATAGGGTTTGGCAACAAAGCAATTAACCAAACTTGTTTTCTAAATAAAATAATAGCTTACTTAAGGAGTTCGTAAATAACTAAAGGATCGTATTACTTGAGTATGATTTAAAGCACTAGAAACCATACTGAAGTCCTTGCCATTAGGGTCGTATTTCCAGTGCTTGAAATTATACTCATGTCCTGGGGTCTACTTTCGATCGCCGTCCGACTTCCGTCCGAAACAATTACTGCCAAATAAGCAATACTTGATCAAATGAAAAAACGCGTGTTGCGAATGAAGCTTCATATTTGACACTTATCTTTTAATTTTGTCGAATATTACTTATTTGACAGTAATTGTTTCGGACGGAGGTCGAGAGTAGACCCCCTTGAGCATTGAGTAGAGTTCTGGAATACAATCCTAAGAGGCTTACAACCCAAAAAATAACTAAAAGAACAAAAAAACCGAAATATTACCAAAATGCATTGACTTACAATTATATGGACGTCGGGTCCGCGCTAAAAAGTGTCCGCACTTGTAAGGCGCTAAAATCGTATACAGAGCGCGACACTCCGCTTTAGTCTTCTTTTGTTCTACGGACAGCGCGATACTGCGATGACATAACAATTTAAATTTCGAATAGGTTGACTTGGGACATTTTTTTCGTGGTTTTTGTATTAGACCCGTCGTCCATTTATTTGTAAGTCAATGCCAAAATGATAAATTTTTACTAGAGAATATAACCTAGAAATTGCTTTATTTGGTATTGCCAATTTTTAATCACACTTTCGCCACATCTGTGTATAAAATTAAAACTAATAATAATTTATTTATCATATTAACGAAAAATGTGTTTGGAGAATAATTGAAATATCTTTATTACAATTTTCCGAAAGACATTACTTTACAGAAACCATGGATTATGGCCACAGTGAGACAGAATTGGAATCCATGAAAACACTCAAAAATTGTAGCAGACGTTTACAAGATTATTTAATAAAAAAAGAAGAAAATTACTTTATTGCGTCATGCTGCTGTACGAATTTTGGTAAATATTTTGCTACATTAATTGAAAGTTATAATAGCATTTTCATGAACTTTCGTGTCGTCAAAAAAAATTATATTTTGACAAAACGAGTATAGTTACTTAGATATGACACTTTCCAATATAATAAATTGTATTTTTAACCGACTTCAAAAAAAGAGGAGGTTCTCAATTCGACTATATGTTCTTTTTTTTTTTTTGTATGTATGTTACGCGATAACTACGGTATTTGTGAACCGATTTTCGTGATTCTTTTTTTATTGGAAAGGGGGTACTTCCATAGTGGTCCCATTTCATTTTGAAGGAAATCATCCACCTCTAAGGGTGGCTGTTCACGCATGAAGATTCATTTTTATAAATAGCGCCTACCTTAAATTTAGGAGCAATTACTTTTAGCAGTTATTTAGTTGATTTTGCTATTTCTCCAATTCAAGGCATTTTTCCCTCGATATACTTTGAGTAATGTCGTAGTGAGAACCTATTTTTATTATCTCCAGTATCAAGTCCTGTATAGTGGCGAACTAGGGGATATTTCAATGAAACTTAGCAAATAGACGTAATTCCACGTACTTTTGAGGTCGGTTTTTTTAGTACTCTGTACTGAGATTATGACAAAATGAATATAGTTTCTTTGATATGACACTTTACAATATTTTAACGGATGTTGGTACTAATTCAATCGGACGGTAATTATTGAGGTCATTTCTTCTTGCTCGTTTTTTGTAAATCGGTTTCACGATTGTAATTTTTAATGAAAATCAGATACCCCTACGCAACTTGAATTTTTGACAGTTGTTGAACTAAAAAACACTAACAGAATTGTTAATGGACTAAAAAAATATAGTGAAAACGCTACCTTTACACCTACCAATAAAAAATACTCACCACTTGTTAATATGACAAAAAGAATTATCCCGCAGTTTACCCATAACACAAGGCAATTTTTTTCGAGAGCCACACCTATATGAAAAACGAGCGATTCGTTCTGTATACCGTCTAGGCTCTCGGGTTTCTCTCAGAGAAAAGTTTATGGAGAGTGGTATCATGACTGTGGCATCACAGTACATTTACTCAAATATTTTATATGCCCGTAAAAATATATATAATTTCAATAAGAAAGAAGATATCCATAACATTAACCTTAGAGCTAAGTCCAAACTAATGGTCCCACGATTTCGTTTAACCAAGGTAAACAACTCTTTTATGGGGAACTGTATACGTTTTTACAATAAGATTCTGGAGCATATATTAAGTTTATCATTTCCTAAGTTTAAAAACTACATTAAAAATATTTTGATCGAAAAGTGATATTACAAAATTGAAGACTACGTGTTAGATAAAGATGTATGGAAAGACGACATGGCTCCAGAATCCACACAAATTTGATTTAAAGTGTATTCCATAGCATTTAAATTTATTTGAAAAGAGCAATCACTAGAGTTTCTTGCTCGTTCTTCTCAGGGAGGTCAGCGTAGTGAACGACCTGTAGCTTAAATGTGACGATTTTAAGTGTAAATTTATTTTATCTATGGAATAAATAATCTTTGACTTTGACTTTGACTTTGACTTTGATGAATAATTGTGTAGGTAGTTGTTTGAGGGTCGTATTCCAGAACTTTACTCAATGCTCAAGTCAGGATTGCACTGGCAACACAAGCACTGGAAATACGACCCTAATGGCAGGGACTTGAATATGATTTCGAGTGCTTTAAACCATACTCAAATCCTGACTTGAGCAGACTTGAGTATGATTTCAAGCACTGGAAATATGACCCTAATGGCAAGGACTTGAGTATGATTTTCAGTGCTCACTGCCATACTGAAGTCCTGACTTGAGTATTGAGTAGAGTTCTGGAATACGACCCTCAGAGTCGTATTCCAGAACTCTACTCAATGCTCAAGTCAGGACTTGAGCAGACTTGAGTATGATTTCAAGCGCTGGAAATACGACCCTAATGGCAAGGACTTCAGTATGATTTTCAGTGCTTTAAATCATACTCAAGTCCTGACTTGAGCATTGAATACGACCCTTTAAGGACATTCTCTCTCGCAAGTGTGGCCACACCAAGCCGGGGTTTTTGTTAAATCCTAATTTGGTTGCGGTTCCGAACATAATTTCGTCAAATTATATTACATTGACCTACTCACAAAATTAATATAACATAAGTTTATAAATTATTTTTAAAGGTTATTTGTCTTAGTTTTGAGGCCCAACACTATAACTATTAAAGTTAATTTATACAAAGCAAAGCAAACATTTTTTGCACGGCTCTGCAGATTAAAATATCGAGCGATTTCATTTATTTTGTGTCGCAAAGAAAGAAGATCAACCATTTAAAAAAATGGCCGTAAAAATTTTATTGCCTCCTACTTTTGCAAATTTAAAGAAAAGATAATTTAAATACATGCCATGAAAAACTTAACCACTGATACAAAGCAAGGAGAGGATTTTTATAAAGACGTTGTATGGTAAAACCTTTGCCTACCCAAATAAAAAAAAAACATTCCTGTCAATGTCAAAAATCAAAACAACGTCGCTTTTTATGGTTTTGCTCTTTATTTATTTCTTTTCCTTGTTTTAATCTATATCTGAACAAATTATGAACCAGTATTTAATGTAGTTTACGAATAATTGTGTGCTATGTGATTTAAACAGTTGTTCATAATTTCTATCCCATGGTTTGAAAGTTTGCTGATACGTGCATAAAAAGAATAATATCAAACTTATTATTTATTGAAATCAGAGATTACCATCGAAGATGGAAGGTGAAGGTAGCTTTTTTGGACTCCTCACAGAACTATGTAACAAAACAGCCACGAAATACAGCACTCGGAACAAGATTTCGCAGAAGCTATTGTCTAGTAAAATGAGATCGCATGCCTACGAGATTATTCTGAAGAAATCTAGGAAAGAAATAAACTATAACTCGAAAGGTGCTATTACTGATTTGCTCTCGTATTATCTTGTATTTCATCAAAATGTTAAGAATGTGGCTGAGTACAAGAAGTGTTTAGAATTAAAGAGAGTTATCGGTGAAGTACAGCAAGTTGATTTTGGGGAAGAGAAAGATCAAGTTTACAATGTACTCACGCTTCTGGTTGGGTTAAGTGATTCACTTATAGAAGATCATTCACACAAGTTGTTCAATGTACGTACTATTATTTTATTACTACAGTATGCTATGATGGCCGTTTTGACGTTTGACCGCTCATCAAGTTTTGTATTAATTCATAACTACGTTGAAGGGGCTAATTGATGTATAATGTTGTCAATAGAGACGTGCAGCAAAATTTATGGATGCCTAATTTTACGACACAATTTGATGCCAAGTTGTTTCTAGAAATTGGAAATTTTTTAAAATGAAATTAATAAGATTGTCACTTATAGGATCACAGTCCAGCATAACTTATACTTCCGGCAAACTTGCATCAAAGCAAAACAAGGCAGTTTCGAATTGACAATATTTTAAGAAAACATTTTTATTTTCGTTTTTTTAAAACTTTTCAAAAAATCAGTTACCCTTTGCAATATCTATATAATCACATTAGGGCTTCATCCCTAATTCAAAGTCCTATCCATCACACTCAACTCACCTATCAAAGTGGGAAATTCACAGAGACAGCCCTACTCCACTTTGCGGACAGAGTTGAAAGAGCGTTTGAGGACAAACAAATAGTACTGTGTGCCTTTCTAGACATTGAGGGTGCTTTTGATAATACACCCATTCTACTTTGGTGAAGGGACTAACCTGCAAAGGTGTAGACTCTTCTACTATGCGATGCGTGCAAAACATGCGTTTAAGCCGCAGGGCTAGTATCTTGTTACACGGGGACTGGCTTGTGGCGTCCACTGCCAAAGCACCATGTCGTCACTTATGCAAGGAGCTCTTGACACAATTTCCGCGTGGTGTCAAGATAATGAATTATCTATTAACGCGGAAAAGACAACCATAGTCCCCTTCACTAAGAAGCGGAAACTAGATAAACTAGTGAAACCAATCCTTGGTGGCAGGATTGTGAGTTTTTCTGCAGAAGTTAAATATCTTGGGATAACCATAGATCAAACCCTAAGGTGGAACTGCCATGTAGCTAACACGGTTAACAAGGCCGAGATGGCCTTAGGTATCTGTAGTCGTATGGCGGGACAGCGTTGGGGTCTAAAACCAAAGATGACTCTCTGGTTATACAAGGCAATAGTGAGGCCCATAGTGACATGCCTCTGCTGTTTGGAGTGCTAAAGTCAGCCAAACAACCACTTTTGCCACATTGAGCAGTCTACAGCGCATAGCGTGCTTGCTAGGAACAGGAACCATGTCTACGACTCCGGGGGCGGCCCTAAATGCATTGCTCAATCGGACTCCCCTTCATATTAATACAGAAGGAGGCCGGTACCAGCATGTACAGGATCACCACCAAGTTAAGGACTAGATGATTCTCCCAGACATTGAGATCAACTCAGGACTCAATTCTGGAACATCCTGTTATGGGAATGACTTCTGATGTCATGCTTCCCAAGCAAAACTTTTGAAAACTGTACCTGGTAGAATTTCCAACCAGGGAAGACTGGAAAACCAATATCTTACCTGGAAGGACTGTAGCCTTCTTTGGTATACCGATGGGTCTAAGACGGGACCCAACGTAGGCTGTGGTATACATGTCGTGAGACCGAGGCTCAGCTATAAGCTGAATTTGGGACGACACTCCTTTTTCTTTCAGGCCGAAATTGCTTGTGCGGATTTGAACCTGAAGAGAGGCTACGTTAACAAGTACATTTATATAAACTCAGATAGTCAAGCCGCTCTACATGCACTAACCTCTGTCACCCAAACATCGCGGATTGTAGAGAACTGTGACCATACTGAATGCTCTCAGGGAAAGGAATAAAGTAGTTCTGCGTTCCAGGTCACTCTGACGTCGAGGGAAATGAGGCAGCAGACAAACTGACCAAGGTTGGTGCCAGGGAAACCTTTATTGGACCCAAAAAAAAAATGGGCAAAGCTCACTCTGCTGAACGAAAGCACACACATCTCCCGAGAAGTGTGGCTATAGACTAAGGGTCTTGAGCATTCAAAAGCACTGATAGCTGCCTACAGTGCCAAACACTGTAGAGAAGCTCTGTCATTGGACAGGAATGGCATCAGAATGCTCACTAGGGTCTTAACAGGACATTGTGGCTTGAACAAGCACATGTCGAACATTGGGCAGAGAGAGAATAGAGAGTGTACGTTCTGCCACAAGGCGGATGAAATTCCTGCTCATCTTCTCACCCAATGTTACCCCCTGATGGGCGTACGAAGCTCCATACTGGGAAGGCACATGCTACAACCAGAGGACATTAAATCTGTCGGAGCCAGGAGAGTCCTTTAGTTCTTTAATGCTGTTGGCCTTGGCTCTGAACTGTAATTAGTGGTGATCACAATATATCAACTGATGGTCGCAGTGATGAGGGGCTACATATGCCCCGAATGAAGCCACCCTAAAAATAATAATAATACCCCGTGCAATACTAGTTATAAATATAAAATCTTGTAGTTGCGCTCTCGCAACGACTCGCATTTGATTATATTTTTTTCGGTAATGAATTCAGATTTTACCTCACTATTGTAATCTGTCAATTGTAAACGGCCATCGTAGCGTGCCGGTACTGTAGCTGTATGTATTAGGGGTTAAAGCATGAAATTGACAGTTTCATATATGAGAATTTAAACAAAAAGAAAATGTTTGATTAAATGAATAATCTATAATATTATTTAGTTATTTGAAAAATTACTAACTAAAGTTTTATTTAATTTTAAATTGGCGAGAACTTTAGAACAGTTTCATAACTTAACCCCTTGTATGTAATACTACTTTGTGTCACATGGGCGGTAAGTAGACAATAACAAACAGAGGAATCTACAGAGCCCAATCCGTGGTCTAGGGCTGTAATGACATGAATGTTTGTAATTGTTGTACTGCCCAAGTGGCATACAATGTTTTTCATCACACTTGCGACGAACTAAAAAAACCAGAAAATTTTACTTAATAATGTTATGGTTTATACATGTACTTGGTGCAAGGGGTTGGTGTCCGCAACTTTACGACAAAGCGCCTATTTTGCCTGTGGTGGGTGCAGGGACTCATACCACCCAAGCTCCTTCAGGAATCTCAGCAACCTCCTCGGTTTGCTGAAGATTTCTGGGAGCGACGTCGGCACTCCAAGGTACTTCACCCAGTATTTGGTCACGCCGGAGCATTGTAGTAGGATGTGCGCGGCCGTTTTCTCCCCCTCCATGCAAGCTCTGCATAAAGGGCTGTCCGTGATACCTAAATTAAAAAGGTGTTTATTGTATAGACCATGACCCGTTAGGGCGGCAGTTAGAGTGCGAAGCTCTTGCATTTTAAGTTTGATTAATTTTCGAGATAGACTGGCGTTGAGCGTCGGGTGAGCTTCCCTCGCCTGTCTACAAACCGTAAGGGTTGTCTATGTGTTATTATGAAAAGGTTTTGTACCATTGTGTATATTTGTTCTTGAACACTGGTAGGGGAGGGACACTATGGGTTCTGGTCCTACAGCGTCCGTCTCCGACCCTTTTTTGCCTAGTTCATCTGCTGCGTCATTGCCACGTGAGCCGCTGTATCCTTTAATCCACTGTAGAGTTACGTGGTTGTGTATACATACCTCCGTGAGTGTTTGATGGCATTCGTAAATGAGCCCTGAGTTTATGTCATAGCTGTTGAGTGCTTGAAGTACTGACGTGCTGTCGGAGTGTATTCGAATGGCGTGATTCTTTACTCTTCTCGCTATTATTGCTTCTGTTGCTAACTTGATACCCATGCATTCGGCCTGGAATACTGTGTTGTGGTCACCAAGCGGTGTTGATATCCTGATATTGAGGCTTTCTGAGAAGAGGAACAGGTACTGGCCTGTTCCTGAATTTGTTTTTGATCCATCAGTGAGACGCGGACCTCTCTGGGATTCAGTCCTTCGTTGGGATCTTCAAACAATTGTATCTTGTATTTTTTGTCAAAAATGTATTGTTTCGGGATCCTATCCACCGCCGCCTCCAGTAGCGGTTCCTCTTTAACAGTTATGTAAAGGATTTCTGTATGTGGGGTTATTATGTGCTTCCAAAGGCCTGCTCTGTTTAGACGCACTGCTGTTGACTCCGCTTCCTGTCTGATGAACAGTGGGAGGGGTCGCAGGTTCAGTATCGCTTCGATGGCCGCAGTTGGAGTTGTCCTCATGCAGCCCGTCGCCACCATGCAAGCTAGTCTTTGGAATTTGTCCAGCCTGTCGGTTGCAGTCGTCAGATTGGTTCATGGCCACCATACTATCGCGCCGTAACTGATCATGGGCCTTATCACCGCTGTGTAGAACCATAGTGTTATCTTAGGTGAAAGTCCCCATTGTTTACCTACCATTTTATGGCACTGCCAGAAGGTGATAGTAGCTTTTTTAATTTTGTTGTCCAGGTGCTTGTTCCAGTTCAACTTGTTGTCCAGTACTACCCCCACGTACTTGACTTCGGTTGATAACTGTAGTTCTGTACTGAAGAGTTTGGGTAGTAGATAGTTACCCAGTAGTCTTTTGTTTGTAAACATAACTAGTTCTGTCTTTGTTGGATTTACCGACAATTTATATGCTCTGCACCATCTTTCCACAATCCGGAATGCTGCCTGCGTAATGTCGCAGAGTTTATACATGTAATATTTACAAACTTTTAGGTATCTCATAAATAAATCTCATGTAAAGAATAAGCACATTTTTAATATTGAAACATTTTGCTTTGGCTTTACTTAGGAATACAACTTAAAATTGTGTAAATTTACCTATATTCTGCTATTTATGAGTATGTATCTTATAAAATGAAATAAAGGTATTTATATTAGTTTTTATAAATTATCTAAAAAAATATCACAATTCACTTTGAACTTTTGAAATCTAGTTCGAGCCCTCGCCCGCTTTAAGTGTAAAATCTATATGGTGGCAGTACTGTCCACTTTTTTATTGTTCTGACAGAAACCAGTTATTTATTCTATTGTGATCACTGCTGATTACATCTCAATGTCGATCAAATCTCAATATGCAACTCTAGCTCTCCTGTGTTAATTAACGATATTGGCATTTTGAAGAATACTGTTTCAAGTCACCAAGACCTGTACGTCATTGGTGCGGAGTTAATAATTATGTTTAGTATTAGCTTAATTCTATAATCAGAGTTGTGCTGGGCAAAATACATGCTATGTCTGAATTAAAATATAAGTTATTAAATATTTTCTCATATGTATTTTAGATATGAAATACAAAATACTGTCGTGAGGTGTATTACAAACACAAATTACAATCATTACCATTAACCGGTCACCACAAAAGTGTTTGTAGTTTCAATTACGGTGTACATTACTGTCGAATGTTTGAAATACCAATTACAAAATAAATTTTATAGTAATTGAATATAGTAATTGAAAATAAATATTTTATGTAATTCAAATACTGCTCAGCTCTGTCTATGAGTAATCAATCATTGAAGTGTATACGAGAACAATTCATAAAGACGGTAGACTTAAGTAAGATTTTAATATCAACCCTGCAAGATGGATTTTACCTATTATCTGAAATGAAATGTTTTCTCTAGGTGGAAATCTTCTTTTATTTTAACTAGTTTCATCTTTATTGACATTTTTGTGTCAGCATTCTTCTATAAATTAAAAATGATTCACATTATTGATGAATGATAATATTACAGAAACCATTTTCATTTGGGCTGTTGGAGCAGATGTTACCAAAACTACCTCGTGCACAGTTTGGTTCCCCGGAACCATACTCTTACTACCCGTTGCACATTTTTGTACTGCCGTATTCTTTGAATCAACAAAATAATCCTATAAATGGGAAACAATCATGTACATTTACTGAGTACACTGTTGAGAGTTTCGACTCTAGATCACGTAAGTTATAGTTTTATATCTATGTTCTACTTAAGGTGCATTTGTCCAAAATTTATAGTGTTTCTGCGCCTCAGTCGCTGAATATCATATTCGCAAAATATCATGTTCGCAAAACATGATATTCGCAAGACTTCATGTTCACAAAATACCATATTCGCAAGATACCACATTCTCAAGATATTACATTCTTAATACACCTTATGCGCTAAACACCACATTCGCAAAACACAACAGTCTAAGTACAGGTAATAACAGCAGGCCTTACTAGAGACGGACAGAGGGTTAGATTGGTTAGTATTAAACGTACCCTGTGACTGCGAATCAGAAATTGACCCCTTACGAGCAATTTTTTTGCAGATGGGTTAAAATGGTGTATATTAATACGTTTATGGTTAGAAAAATAATTTCCATAAACCCTCTTCCTATAGACTTATTACAAATAATCATGAAATAATAATAGTTAAAAAAAAACAAAAATAAATAAATTCCTTTTATTTGTACCTTGAAATACACTACATAATGATGCATGCGCAGGGAACGTTATTTTATTTACGCTATCTTTGCCTACTCATAATTTTTTGTTTTTTTCTATTATTTTTCTACTTCTTTTTTATCAGTGACATGCAAATTGTTCTTTTTTAATTTTATATGTTGTATTTTTGCCATTTATTCTTAACAATTGTATAAAATGAGTAATTTATAAATTGTAATAATAATAACGCACACACTCGACATAGCCCCGCACTAGGGAAACCCTGTGTCGCGGGTGCCATGGACACACAAATACACAATTACAAATTACACCCAAACTCACGAGACAAATAAATGTAGGCCATACAAATATTTCTCCCGGCTCGGGAATCGAACCTGGGACCTCTGCATGGCAGTCCGGCATGGTAACCGTTCGGCCACGGAGGCAGTGTGATTTTGTATTTTGTTCCTAACAATACAGGACGTACAGTTGTACATCGCACTTATGATATTTTGCGAATGTGGTGTTTAGCGAATATGGTGTATTAAGAATGTAATATCTTGAGAATGATATTTTGTGATTTGTGACTTGTGATGATAAAATGATATTTTGTCAACATATCTTGCGAATATCATGTTTTGCGAACATGATATTTTGCGAATATGATATTCAGCGACAGACGCGTTTCTGCTATCATAAAAATCAACCAAAACAGGCAAATGTAAAAATTTAAGTCTGGTCCTTTATGAAGGTGCACCAAAATTGATTACATGGGTGCATCAAACATTAATATAATAATACTTGTAACTACCATTCACACCATTAAAATGAAATTTAAACTAGACAACTCCCTGTAATATGATTGCCAGACGAACAATAACTCAAGTAGTAGGTATTAGATGTTTATTGTGATATATGATTACTACTTACCATTACAGTTTTACCTGAACGTACTACACCTGGAGGAGGGGAAATAAAGAGCTTTCGTAGTCCAATGTCCCTGCCATCTTTTTCCTCAACTAATTTGTCCCCATGCCGATACCTATCCAGTGTATTGTGGAACCACCCTAGACTGACAGCACCTAGAGACTTGCAAATACCAACGTCAGGCTCTAAAGGGTGTGACAGTATGAAGGTAAGTGCTAAGTGCCAATTATCATGTCAATAGCGATCATTCCCCCTTCCTACCACTGTATACATTATTTGGGAAAACAATACTCTCTAATGCTCCCAGTAAAATGCGAAAGTGTTATCGTTAGCGTATCGCGGTAGAAGTCACCTTGATTTATCGGTGATCTCCGGATCGTAAACTTTAAAATAATTATATTTTTGTTTAATAGTAATGAAATATTTTGCCTTTATTGTTTCATTTGATATACAATAAATAAAAGGTGCCAGGTCTGTTATTACTGGCACATTCAGAGTCCGATCCAAGTTGCCAATTCTAAAAGTGGTATTATTTTTGGCAAAATATATAACAAAACCAATTAATAAAACTAATTAATTAAAAAACAAGACCAAAATTGAAACGTCAATTTCCGAATCTCGATCGAAGGCAAGCGCACTCCAACCTACTAGTATGTTTAATTTCAAATGGCATGTGTCGCGCTTCTGACATGACGTGATAAGTAAGTATGATAAGTATAAAAATAAATAGGGATAATTGTAAATTTGCATTTTATAGGACTATTAAATATTAGTTTTAATGTGAAGTAGTATATTATTGTAGTGTAATTCAGTCATAATAATAATAATCGTAATTGTTTCTTTTTATAGACAGATACAATATACAAATTGAGGTTGATATGCCTCAATTTCACATTTTTTGAACTCATCAGTAGCTTTTATTATGTTACTTAGGCGAAGTCAAAATTGCGGCAGATCTTTAGTGATCGACGATTTGTCGCTGTCGAATTGTGACTTCGGGATGAAAGTCGGGTCAATGATCGCTATTGACATGCTAAATGGCACAAACTATAGTGTTTTAGACATGCTGTTTTATTTATTGCAAGCCTCATAATATTCACTTATATTATATTGTATTAAGATGTATGGCACAGTCATGTAACATTATTTGCAAAGTTTGTCTGTAATTTTGTAATGGTGTTGCTAGTGTTCATACAGTGCTCTTAGTTCCCTTGGTACTTGAAAGTTAATTTGACTTGAATACTTACCTTGAAGTTTAGGAAATACTATTATAATTAATCATGTTTTCCTTTTCACATTTTATGTAAATAGTTAATTATCCTTTTGCAATAGTTATAAAAGTAGCATCTATTAAAGGATTTTTTGTTTGTTTTCTTCTATTTTGAAAATTTTAAATAAACTATGTATTTAGATTGCACTAGCTTGTAGACATCCCGACCAAGTGCGAGTTAAAATAATTTATATAATGTTCACCTGCCTGTTTTTTTATACAATGAAATGAAAGTAAAAATATGTAGTGTCTTTTTACGCAATTTCTTGTAATGGTGCTCATAAATTTCCATGTTGTTTATCTCATAGAGCAATAACAATAATGAAAGTTAGATAATTACCTAAACGTAAATAATATTTCAATAAAAATCATATTTTTCACTTTTTTACATGCTGCAAATTAGTTATATTGTGTTTTACATGTATGTTAGAAAAAAATATATAGTTTTTTTCAAATTAGGTAACCTTTGCTGATGGAAATGAGGAACAAGAGGTGTTTAGACCATCATCAACTGATTTAGAGGATATTTGGGATATTGTCACTCAAGTTGACAAGGATATACCTGATGACATATGGCAGATAGCTTGTAAGTTATTCATGGATATAAATGTAAACTAAATGAACTCTTGGTCACAATCTTATCAGGAAGATTTAAACAAAGCGCTTTGTGGGTAGGGTGGTAAGTCAATGACATGAGGATGAAGTGTTCCGGATCCGGATTTTCTAGTATGGTTCGAGGTGATAATTATCACAAATATTTTCTTGATAATTTATTTAAAATGAATCTGAACAACAAAATGCTACCGCCAGCAATGTGGTGCCATGTGTATATCAAAGACGTATCCAAACGTGTTCGGTAGCAGTAGAGCTTCTTGTGAAAGAATTCGTCCTGGGAAGTACTGCCACCTTACCTATTTCTTCCGCCAAGCATGGCGAGCGCAGTAATGTGAGCATTACGGCGTTCTGCGTTGTAAGGGCGCGAGAAATTACAGGCACAAGGGAGTTGTCAACTTAATATGTCTCAGGGTAACGGGCGCAGTGGCAGTGCCCTTCAGATCTTTGCGATTTAAAGCTCTGAGTGGCGCTGCAACTGTTATGGACAGGAGTTTCGCTTACCAAAATAAAATGTTTGGTTTTTTGATCTCTATTTTAAGTAGTATTACGTGCACAATATTTATTATACGTTCTTTGCTTCGCTCCACTGAGTCCAAGGCTGCTATAAGATTTTTTCTCTCTGCAGACTCGACCATAAATTATCGGCGCATGTAGCGATATTATTGCGCTCTCTCTTCCACTTACCAGTAGGGCAGGCACATACGGGCCTTTCGTGTAAGCGTAGGGCTGTGCATTGCTGCAATTGATAAATGCTATCGATATCGATGACTTTTAATTTTGCTGTAAGAGTGAATAAGGAAGGGAAATATCAATGATCTTATTTGCTAAATACATACATTACAAATTTACAGTATTAAAAACCTAAAACTAGAAATATTAATTAATACTTCCTAATTTTACGGGATCTTTAATTTCCAACAATGTTAACACATTATAAGTAACAATGATAGTAAAATAAAAAAATAAACAATGGCATATAATAAATTACTCAAAGAGCACAGTACCGACCGCGCGCCCTTTGTGATTCTTTTGTTTTTATCTGTAATTGAAGTGGGACAGAGAGCGCAATATCGCAGTCCCGCTTCGATGTTTATGGCCGAGGCTAGAGATGAGATTAACTGCTATATTCGCATAGCACGCTAAATGCTAAATGCAAAATTTTTATAGCGCGCTATTTAAAGTGCTAAAATTAAAATTTTTAGCAGCTCAAGGTCGTGTGATAATATAACGAATGGAAAGAAACGTGAAATAGTTGACGTGCGCTAACTTGTTAAGTATGGCATCTATGCTCTATCTATAGAATAGTTTACAGTTTTTTATGGTTAGTTACGACCGACTTCATTTGTTTTGTAACTATTACATAATATGGTGGTTACAGGTTATAGACGATAAATCAATGAGTTTCCCTTCATACTTTAACTATTTACTATTTACAATTTGCACAAAACTTTACACAGGCTATTTACAGTAAATTACACTCATAATAATTAATAATAACACACACACTCGTACTTTTATATACAAATATTACAACGACTTATTAATTAAGCAAACGCTAAATTAACTAAATAAATCCGAGTACTTAATTATATCTTAATTTAAATCGCTTCACCAGACGAAATTTTGCTAATGTTCCACCATTAGCTCAAAATCGTATTAAAATTTAACCAAAATTATAATTTATAACATAACTACAATTATAATACTTGCTAAGTGCTAAATATAATATTAGCGCTTAGCGTACTCAAACGTGAAATTTAACATCAATAAACCAATCAGCTATTTCGCGTTTCGCACCAAACGTTAAATGCTACAAATAATATGTGCAAGTATTTCACGTTATAATTGTTTCAACCAATGACAAGAGCCGTAATTTTCACATAGAATATAGTGCCATATATGAAATATTAAGGGAGATAAATCAGGACGAAGGATTTTGTTTGTTAGCTGCGTAAGTAAAGCACGGATAGATTGATGGTATGCCATTGAAATATTGTAAAATTATGTCGCTAGATGGCATTTGATTTAATTTTCTTAACGTACTCCAATCCAAAGTGAAAAAAAGTTCGTTATAATTTTAGCGCCTTTATGTCTTTCAAATTATATTATATCAAATTGCTATAATTATTTTTTATTTAACGTAACGTAACATAATTTGAGCTATATATTATATTAACCATCTCTAGCCGAGCCTGCAGCAAGAAGTAATATTAATATAACTGATATAATTACCTATGTACCCACTCACTATTGCTTGTATTTAAAATATAGCCACATTTCTCTTTAAAAAGTTAGTAGGTCACGATGATATTTTCTATTTAAGTTTATGGTTACCCTGCAATTTTGAAGAGGCGTGGAAAAGTCGCTTGCAAATCACTTGTACACTGTGTAGCAACTACTGATCAATTTATCTTATCAATATTATCCAAGATCTTGTACAAAGTTGTGAACATGCCTCTAGTCGACCTTTTAGAATTAAACTGCCTTAGGTATATATCTATCCATGAATTTGAAAAAGGAACAAATTATTAGCTGTTCTCGATCTTTTTAAGACCTTTGAAATTATCTCTATATATTTTTTTCTGTATAAATTAGAATCCAGCCAAGTATTATCTCCAGCTGTTTAAAACTCATCTACTTTATAGAACACCGACTGTGAAGATTATGTAGTCTATTTTTTAACTATCAAAATGTATCTACGATCTGAAGAAAACTTTATTGAATAGTTTTTTCGCGACATTGAACTAAAACTATAAATAAAACATTCTGTTTCAGCAAAACTTCCGCCAATATATGAAAGGCAGCTTATATCGACATCGCTGCGAGAAATGGTACTGTGGCGGCAATTGTACGAAAACGCCCTTAATGATCTCAGTGTTATATCTGAGAAACAGTTCATTCGGAATGTCATGTATCTTTTGAGTAAGTGTTGTTGATACCCCAGGGTGTGTGAAGTACAAGTGAAATTGACGGAAAGCGAGGTGAAATTTATTGAAGGACTTTGGTATTCATAATTCGCTAGGGTGGTTACAATTAGGGGAATCACCACATTTATCGACACGGAATCGCATTAAGCGGGTCAGAAAAGCCAATGTCAAAGAATCATTTATTCCATAGGTAAAGTAAATTCACACTTGAAAACGTCATTTTTTAAGCTACTGCTTTCAGTAAGCTGTCTTTCCTGAAAAGAACGAGCAAGAAACTCTAGGGATTGCTCTTTTCAAGTAAACTTGAGTGCTATGGAATAAATAAATACACTTTGAATCAAATTTGTATGCAATCTAGACCCATGTCGTCTTTCCATACTTCTTTATCTAACACGTAGTCTTCAATTTTGTGATATGACTTTTCAATTAAAATACTTTTGACGTAAGTTTTAAACTTAGGAAATGATAATTTTAATATATGCTCTGGAGTCTTATTGTAAAAACGTATACAGTTCCCCATTAAAGAGTCGTTGGCCTTTAAACGAAATCGTGGTACCATGAGTTTGGACGTAGTTCTAAGGTTAATATTATGAATATATTTTCAATGAAATTATGTTTTTTTTACGGGCGTACAAAATATTTGTATAAATGTACTGTGCCACAGTCATGATACCAGTTTCCTTAAACTTTTCTCTGGAAGAAAGAAACCCGAGACCCTAAACGGTACACAGAACGAAGCGCTCGTTTTCGCAACACAAATATAAGTAATAATAACACAAATAATAATGATAAAATATTAAAAGTGTTATATATACGTAATAAGAGCGAAATTGACGTTATGGGTTTCGCGTCAACGATCCGGGTGGAAGCGAAACGGCTTTTTCGTCCTTATTGCATTGAGATGAAACTTTTTTTGATCGGATCGACTTGATTCGGCATTAATATTTGTGGTGACTTCCTAAGTCTTAAAAAATATTTGGTTAGAAATATTAACTACTTTTTCCGAAATTAAAATCGGATATACTTATTTTTCGAAACAAACTAGCGTTTCGGTCTCTTTACAGGTCCCATGGTCATATTTGACTGAGATGGTATTATCAAATAATTATGTCGAATGTAATGAATGAATGAATGAAGCTATTACGAAAACTTTAGCAAATTTACTTTAGTAGAAAATTTTAGTATCAGTAGAGCTCGTTTTGAAAGAGTTCGTCTAGGGAAGTACTGCCATCTTACCTATTTCGGCCGCTAAGCAGTAATGCTCACATTACTGCGTTTCGGTTTTGAAGGGTAAAACTTTTGGCGATGTTAAAGGACATGGGACTTGTCAACTTATGTCTCAAGGTGGCGCAGTGGCAGTGCCCCTCAAATCTTTGTTATTTAAAGCTCTATGCGGCACTGCAGCTGTTATGGACAGGCGAGTCGCTTACCACCAGGCACCCGACTTGTTCGTCCCGTCACCTGGTATCATAAGAAAATAATTAAAACTCGATAAAGACGTTTTGGGTCAATCTTAATTACACTTACACAACGTTAAACATCTAGCCAGATATATCGACTCCTCCTACGTAAAGTATCGTTTGTTGAAATTGCCAAGTTTACAGGGGACCGTTTTAAACTTCTGGATTCACTGAAGTGAGTATAATACGTGACTGTAGCATTTCTCAGTTTTATTCGGTAAAGCTCGTTACTCACATAGAGTATTATAAAATTCTAGATATCGGTTGGATGATCTATGATGATCTATTAGATGATCACTCTATTTGAGTAACGAGTGAATTCAGAACTTTATAATGCTCGCAGGTAAACTTGGCAATTGCGACATACGAGGGGTCGATATGTCTGTTGTTTTTCCTTAGCATTTCCAATGTTTTATTTTTCAGTTGGCATAGAAACAACTTCATTCCCATTCAGTGAAGAATCAAATTGTTTTTACATGAAAGAAAATTTAGTTTTAGAAGGGATATCGAAGGAACATATCAGAGGCTACATGACAGAGTTGCAACTGGTTGGCACTTATTACAAACGATTGTATACATTCGCCTTTAATCAGGGCTTGAATGATCACTTTCGTAATAATGGACTTGTATTTGAGGTAAGTTTCTTATTTAAAGATCCAGTTTCTTATTTAAAGCTACAGTTGCTGTGTAAGAGAGTCACCACACTTATCGACACGGAACCGCATAAAGCTGGTCAGAAAAAGCTTTATGACCGTTTCGCACCCCTCATGGAAGAATGGCATAAGTGGAGTTGCGACAAAAAATGTTTATTGCTTCATTACATACAGACAAATATAACTCACATCCTCTCCAATTCTTGTAACTTTATCTGCAATATTAGTCGATAAAGTTATAAGAATTGGAGAGGTTGTGGCTTATATTTTCCTGTATCTAATGGAGCAATAAAGGTTTGTGATGTAACTCCATTTATGCCATTCTTCCATGAGGGGTGCGATTTAATAAGAGTCTAAAAGGCGTGTTTTTCGCATAGGCGGCGGTCCGAGAGAAAGCGAAACGTGACACTTTTTTTATGATACTAAGTGTATGTTGTGCGCCAGGTGGTAAGCGTCACGCCAGTCTATAACAGTTGCTATGCCGCTCAAAGGGCACTGCCACTGCGCCCGTCATCCTGAGACATAAGTTGACAAGTCCTATGAGCCCTTGAAAACCGGAACACAGTAATACTCGCATTACTACGTGACGGCACAAATATTATTACTTATTTCAGTTCAGTATAGGTTCGTAACGACAAAAAAGCGGGATGGTGATATACACTTCATGTAGCGCTATCTCACAACGATTCATTTTAGGTCCTAAACTGAATCGTAATAAGAGTTCATGGTAAGGCCCAAGATGGCAGTACCACCGTGGACGAACTCCTTCACAAGGAGTTTTACTGCTACGTCTTTTTCGCTTTTATCACATGGACGTAAAGCCTTTTTGACCGGGTTAATACGATTCCGCGTCGATAATAACCCGTGAAGTTATGTCCTTGACTTAACGTTTAAATTTGCATTAAAAAGAATTACGATTTGGGTAGCTCACCTGTAACTGAATGTATATACAGAGGTGGGACAGCAGAATTTAATGAAATAAATTTTCATTTTGAAATTTGACCAACTTCTGCTGTACCGATTCTTTTCGTTTCTTACAATGAAATGACCATTACACAAAATTGAATCGAGCGGCACTAAAAAAAGTTTTGTCATATCATCATTCATCAGAATCATTTTTTTTATGGACAACTCTGCTTGACCAAAATAAGACAGTTTCTTTGAAGAAGAATAGAGTAGAAGACATTATATGGTCTCGGATTTCCCCATGTAAAAACACTGTATGCAGGATAGAATCTGATAATAAATAATTTTAATTTAAGAGATTAAAAAAGTTCAATTAATTATTATTTAACCATTATTTGCAACTTGTATCAAGCAGTATAATGTTACACTTACATTTCTCTCTCTCTCTCTCTCTCTCTCTCTTTCTCTTTCTTTCATTTATTACTGCCTTAATTCCTTGTTTTTGAAAAACGTTTTTGCACGCGAAGAGTATAGTGAGATAAAGCTATATAACATAAGAATGTGATGCAAAAATGTGTTAATGTACATTTTGTACCTTTCTCTTTGTAATGAAAAAGAGAATAAAATAAAAGTAACACAATAATTTCATGCTTCTCCAATTCGTGTGTAATAGTTTTATTAGATTTGGACCTTTGGAAGTGGCGGCTTATTTAATAACGAATTTAATATAAGGAAGTTTTATGCCAACTTTTGGCCCAACGGTTTGCATTGTGAGGCCATGGGTTCGATTTCCGGTGGATCTGATTTGTGAAATTAACTTTTCTAAATTGTTTCTGGTTTGGGTGTTCTGGGTAATGCCTCGGAGTGTATCTTTGCTCTGGTAGTCATAGTACATGGAATTCCCAACTTAATGATCAGCTGGGCTAAAACGGCCGCATAGGCAGAATCATATTATGATTAATTGATAATTCATATTATGAATTTTCAAACAAAACAAGAAACGCAATTCATCTATTTGACAGTGTTGTATGGAGACCTCCATAGAACACTGTCAAATAGATGAATTGCGTTATAGGAATTGTAAGAAATTCATAATAAGAATTGTCAATTAATCATATTATGATTCTGCCAATACGGCCTTTTTAGTCCTGCAGGTAAATGGTGTGGTTGTCAGACGCATTATTATTACCTATTACATTATTCATGCCAGTGTCTTATAAACTCATTTGTTGACAAATCGTCCTGCTTAACAAATTTCAGGCGGCAAGAGAAGTAATAAGACAATACCTGTTACATTTCCGGCTTAAAACGACGGAGATATACGAGGAATGTACCAAAGCGAGCAATGAAGAACTAAATTGCATGCCCACTTTACTGCAGATCGTTAATCACATGGAACCGTTGAAATACGAAATAGAAACTATAGTTTCTATTTACAAGCTTATTAATGCAGGTATTTAGATATGTTTTTTTTTGTAGTTTATAATTTTGTTTAATTGACCCATGGAAATAAAAGGGGTTGTTTTTCTGAAGGATATTTGAGGCTATGCGCGCAAAAGTGGTGTAACCCGATGAAATGAATATAGAAGATATATTTTATACGTAGTAATCGTATATGATATATAATATTTTTATACATTATATTAGAATAGCTTCAAAATATAAAATAGTTATGTAAGTACTTTAGTAATATTGTAGAAAAAAAAAATTAAATGTAGGTTACACCACTTATGCGCTGATAGCCTGATTTTTCAGTTTATTTATTTTAAAGATAAGGTACGTACATCAACAGTAGTACATATACTCTTAGATAACAGTGTAACTTTACATTAGGATTGTACTTATATGTCTACCTATTACAGACGTACACAGCATTTAATGTAATAAAATAATAATAAGCAACAAAAAGAATAACAAAGAACTTATGAAATTACTGGGGAAACGATTCGAGAATGTTATTTTTGGAAACATTACTTGTAGAATGAAAAATGTCTATATATGTATTCGAACATTAATTTGGTTGTAAATAGAGGATAATCTGTTCGTTCGCCATGGTCCGGAAATCCGAAATTCGAAAAAATAATTAATTGATATTTGCTGGGTTTAACCACTCCATGTGACTTCTTGTATCTATATGTAGATATTTATCCACTCATTTCAAACACACTATTCCGACCATTAGTCACAGCCATTGTGAGCATTTTTGCTTGAAGGTCAGTAACAATTGAGACAAAGTCCCTTTTACAGGAGCAGTAAGATGCATCTAATGTTTTTGTTTCAGATCCAAAGATCACGTTACCGTTGGGCGCTGAGTTAATGTCGTATTTGTTTAACGAAATATCGTTGATAACGCATAGACACACGGCGCTCACTATGTTTGGGGCACTGTTTTCCATCTGCAAAGTTTATTTCCAGTAAGATTTTGCTCGTTTATTTAAGCAACATATTGTATTAGATTGTTACAAATGACAACACCAACAATCGAACAAAACACGAAAAAAAAAGTAGAAATATTTTTACTAAACATTATTATTTTGGCGCCTACATGTATGTACTGTAATATTTGCCCCGGCTCGTCATTGGAGGGCCGCACAGAACAGTAACTGAAATTTGACGCTAGGAGCTTTCCCAAGTAAAGTAATAAGGCTCAAATTACATTATCGCGAAACAGAATGAAAGCGAATTTTTGTAACAGTAGCGTAATTAACAGTCGTTACTACCTTAGCTCGAATCCAAATTTTTCCCGTACTAATATGGCT